CGGTCCAATTGGCACGGGCATACGGTCCCACACGGACCACCGAATCCGTACCAACTCGGACCATACCCGTACAAATCTGGATCTTGACCCGTGCCACAAAGGCCCGTGCCTATCCGAAACCAACCCGTACTGATCCGAACCATTTTTCTTATAGAGAATCCATATTGATTTTTGTATTTCAGTGATGATTGTGTGGTAAAATTCGGGGGCTGAGTGGATGGCTTTGTTGTAGCTGCTGGTCAGTGTTAGTGTGTCTTTTGTGATTATACCAATAGATGTTTGATTGGTTATATGAGTTTGGAGAAATGCTTGAGTAAAGTTAGTAATGTTAGCAGGTGGAAGACTATGTTTTTGGAAAAAGTTGTTTGTAACTTCATTGAGAAGTTGAGTTAGTGTGATAGTATTAGTTGGGCATGTAAGCCAATGTGCATTATTTTCATTTTCTGTATTGCAATATTTATATAAAGGTGAGGTGTTTTTTTGGGGATGATGTTTATCAAAAAATTTTTAAATAGAGTGGATATCGATTACCAGCTGCAGAGGTGATTGCCATTGATTAGGAAAATTGTCAATAATTGATATTGGTAGGTATTGTTTATTAGTATTAAGGGATCAATTTTGATAGGGATGATATTGTCATAGAGGTGTATTAAGTTGGTTAAATGTGAGTGTGTAACTTGGATAGTAATGTATTTTGCATGTATTGCAGCACAAATTGCAATTAGAAGGCTAGTATTAGCATTATTTCAGATAGTGTAGGCTGTTTCCAGTGAGGTATTGGTAAGTATAGATAGTAGTTTTTTTATAGTAATAGAGTTTGTAGTAAGGTTTATCTTTGTATAAGTCAGAGTAATTATGAGAAATATATATAGAGTAGTAATTGTGACTTTTGTTAGACTAGACCAAGTTTTGTTTTGTATAACAATTCTTGTTGTATAGTTAGTAAAGGTAAGAATTGAGGTAGGTATAGAGATATGTGTTTTTTAGGTTGTGACTATTAGATTTGTTATGAGGGATATGTGATTTGGAAATGCTAAGTATGTAGTCCAAATGTTTTTGGTATGTTTATTAAGAGTTTGTGTCATTTTAAAGATATAGCAATAGTTTTGTAGTATGTAGTATGTGGGTTGATTATTGTATTTGAGTAGAGATGAAGAGTTTTGAAGGTCATTGAAAGTGCTATGCCAGGTACATTTTGAGAATACTTGTATTTGATAAGCAAAGGATTTTGGTATCCAGAATGAACAGCATGTGGTGAGGGTTGTATGATCATGTTGTGAGCATAGGCTATAGGAGTTTAGTGTATTGGTTGTGAGGTTTAAGTTCTAGTATTAAATTTTGAAGAAATTGTCTTTCAATAAGGTGATTTTGCCAAAGGTGTGGTCTGCTATAATTATCCACTTTGTTTGGGTTCCTGCAGAGTTCTAGATAAAGAGGTTGAAGAAGGTAAGTTCAAGAGCAGGTAAGACAAATTTTACTCAATATTTCTTGGATTGTTGTGAACCACTTGGAGTGGTGTCCACGAGGTATTTTGAGTATATTGTGGTAAAACTTTTTCTAAGTTAAGGTTTGGATATTGTTATAGTTAGTGAATTGCTCTATTGCTAAAATCTGATGTTGGTTTAAACAGTGTTTTATGTAGATGTGATTCTTTAAATAGTGGATTACAAGATTTATAAAGTATTTAGATGTGTAAAATGAAATAGAGCAAATATTGGTATTTGTATATTGAATGTTGAGTTGGTAAATATTAGTGATAAAATAGGCAGTAAAGATTTTGTATTCTTTATAAGTAAAAGTTGGCTGCTTAGTAAGTATGAATGTGTTAGTGAAAGCATTGTTTTGAAGTTGTTATAGGCGTAGTTTGAAAGTTGGTAGGGAGATTGGTGAGTTAAGCAAGTTTTCAAGAATTGAAGTATGATGTTTTTGTTGTAGTTGGTGTATATTAATTAGCATATAAGTGTTTGGGTAGAATAGAAAGGTATTGGGGTGCTATAGGCCAGAAAGGCTTTTTGTTTTACTATTGATGAGTATAAATATAGATGCTGGTGAAATATGGTGAAATGTGGTAAAATAATTTTACCAATATTGGTGAAATTGGCGGTGAATTGGTAAAATTGGTGAAATTAATTTCACTAGCATCTATAAGTATGAACACATTAGAGATTAACAGTGAAATGAGATAAGGTGGGTATTAGAAAGTTGATATCTTAGTTGGGCTAGTAAGACTGAGTTGATGATGTAAATAGCTTGTTTTTTGATAATTTTAGATAATTTTAGTTTGTTTAGTTCTGTAAAGAATTCTTGTTTGAGTTTTTTTAATAATATGACAGTTGTTGATTGAGTGATTGATATAGGTTTCTAGAAATCTAAAAATAAGTTTAGGTAGAAGGTTATATATAGGCTGGTCTTGAAAAAGTATAGGATTTAAATTAGTTTAGTTGTTGTAAAAGAGTATTGACTTGTGCAAATTGACTGTAATTTTAGCCATATAGTAGAAGGAGGAAGCAATGTTGAGAATTTGTTCAAGTAATATGCAACTAGAGGCTACCTATATAGTATTGTCTATATAAGCTATTATATTAGTAGTTGAAGTAAGTATTTAGTTAGAGTTAGGTATATTGGCTAATATAGTATAGCCAAGTTTCAAGTTAAAGATGTAATGAATTAGAAAGTCATAGTATATGTGTCAGAGTATAGGGAAGATTGTTTTATCTTGGTCTATTCCATCTTTCATGTTGTAGAATTGTGTTTTGCCAAGGGTTGTAATAATCTAGTTTTGTTGGATATTTGTTATTAGGTTAATAAATTGTAATAGTATACTAAGTCTATAAAGTGTTTTTTGAAGTAATAGCAAGTGTATAGTATTATAGGCTTTGAACATGTCTTGTGACAATATTCAAAGTTCTTTGTTGTTTATGTATATATCTTCTCATAGATGTGTGATAAGTTGTATATATTGTTGTATTGATGTTAGTAGAAGTGCTACATTATTTGCTAGGTTAAGAAGATTGTTTCGTAGCAGGATTAGATTAAGTCGTGTAGTAAGTATTTTTGTAAAAACTTTGCAAATATGTTTAATGAGTGTGATAGCAGTCGGACGACATGTCGTAGATGATCATCATACATTTGCATGCTTATAAAAAAAAATTGATTTACGTATCAAATTTACTAGTAAAAATTCATAAAACGTGTAATTTTTTTGAATTTGTGGGCTACTAAAATGTTGTACATGGTTCTTTTTTAGATATAACATTTCTGTAGTTTTCTACGAAACGGCCATATAATTTTTGTCTATAGTTAAAAACAAAGTTAAAAATAATCTTGAGCCCGAAGTTGGTGTTTGAATACGAATTATCTGTTATACTAATACTTTTTATATTCAGCCGCACCTTTTACAGATCATTGATAAGGTTTTTAAACACGTTCATTATTGCCTTGCCACAAGTACGTGAAGCAACGAGATTTTGGACTTTTGTTGGCTTTAAAGTATTCCTGAATACTTATAACAAGAAGCACTGTACCCATTTAGATCAGCTAATCTTCAAGGCCTTTGGAACATTGTATGCCTGAAGTTTGTGTTTGAATATGAATTATACTAATATTTTTTATATTCTGCTACACCTTTTACAGATCGTTGATAAGGTTTTTGAACATGTTCATTATTGTCTTGCCACAAGTATGTGAAGCAATGAGATTTTGGACTTTTATTAAGCTTTAAAGTATTCCTGAATACTTACAACGAGAAGCACTGCACCTGGTTATATTTCACTTTAGATTTTTTCAAGGCTTTTGGAAATATGTATATTAATCATATAGGGTATAAAATTATGGAGGTCTACTGGTCAGCACCTTATGATATGTATAGTTCGAGTACTAGTATTTATTAATCTATTAATTTCTTTAGGTCTAGCAAAAATCTTTGAAAGAGGCATTTGTACGAAAATTTTTTGAATTTTGGTTCTTGTGACAGCGATTCGTTTGGGCTAAATTCTTATAATTTTAATGTTAAGATTATTTATTTTATTTTTTCACTATGTATATATATTATTCATTTGACTTTATTTTTGTAATTAATAAAACATTAAATAAAATATGACCTCTTATTATTATATTTTTTTTTGAATTAATAAATTATTAAACATTTAATTTTAATGCACAGTGTCATTCTATAATTAATGACTAAATAAAGGTGAATGTATTATAAAATTATTTCGGCTGATGTTTCTAAATAAAATTTTAAGTTTTTTTCATTCGTATCTGAAAAGTTTGATAAAAATAGTTCCAAACGTTATTGTTAGTAATTTTACTACCTTTAAAAAAAAAAAATTAATAGAAGTCTCAATGAATAAGTATCCATTGAGTTCCGTTGACCCATTGACTTCATTGAAATTCTTCATTGACCTATTCATTGATTTCATTGAAATTCTTCATTGACCCATTGACTTCATTGAAATTCTTCATTGATCCATTGACTTCGTTAAAATTCTTCGTTGAAATTTTTCATTGACCTATTCATTGATTTCATTGAAATTCTTCATTGACCCATTGACTTCGTTGAAATTTTTCATTGATCTATTGACTTCGTTGAAATTCTTCATTGAGTTCCATTGACCTATTTACTTCGTTGAAATTCTTTATCAGGTTATTTCCAACTCTATGCATAATTGGAAACTTAACTTCTTTGGCAAATACACTATTGAACCCTTTTTTTCAAAGATACTGCGATTCTCTCAAATCAATAAAAGGTGCCATTTTTTCCCAATTTTGATTTTAACAAATTAA